CTTTACAATTGAGATCTGATAATGCTGGTTGATAATGACTTGGTATACTGTAAAAATTTTGGCTGAATCTAACACTCTTATTAGTATTTAAAAACTATTGGTTATCAGCACTACTGTTTAACGCACCATATTTGATTGTTTTATTTTGTAGAGAACAGTTATTCATTGCAAACTCTCGTTCATTGGTATGCTGTTGGTTTTCAGAATCTATTCAGTTTTTTTTAATTGTGCCATTGTCGTTGTTTTCTTCTGAACTACTGGCGATGCCAAATTTTAGCGTTTCTTGTTTTAGTGAACTTCCAGGGATGTATCTGCTTGTGTTGACAACTCTTTTACTGTTCTGCGTGACCAGTGAAGCTATGGTAGTATGGCAGATGCCACAAAATCTAATCTATCCTGACCTAGACGAGACATTTGGAGGTTTGAATTTTCTGGTTTTTTTGTTTTTTGCTATTGTTGATGTCATAATGAAGTCTAATTATTGCATAAACAATTTCTCATGTAGTTTAATCAACTTATTTTTTGGTTGTCAAAATCGCTGCTATTGTTTTGTTATGGCAAAGAACCCATATAAGTGTTCAAGTTTAGTGCTACTCTCAAAGTCGTAATTGTTCAACACTTTTTCACTTGCTGCTTTTAGAATTTACTCTTCGTTTCAATTTTTTGATGCTTTATATATTTGACCAAAATTATGGCACAGAAATAAGTTTTTTTACCTTTTTTTTTACTGCCTTAACTGCTGAACGTGTTAATAGCGAAAATCTGAGGGAAAGTTGTACGTTGCACAAATGGCCTCACGAAGTAGTTGAGCAGTCTATGTACAGAGTTCAATCAAAGATAACTACTGTACAAAATTTACTCCTGAAGAAACTTTGATTGAAAAACATTGAATCTGTAGGGTTTTTAAAATGCTCTCAGCATCAGATGATACAGTTGCACTGTTAACAGCTACCGTTACATCTCAATTGTAATTCAGATGAGAATTTGCCGATACGTCGTCAACAACGGTTACTGAATCGATACTACCTATCGGGTAGTTTATTAAAACGCAATGCTCATATGATAAAACAACCTTTTGTTGACTTCGACAGAATTATGGACAAATTTAAAGGGCATCTAAACGGTGGTCGATATGGTGCATGAAAAGAAACGTCTTTCTACCATTGTATTACTACTGTAACCAGTTAAACGCAATTGTTGTCCATGAGGTTTAGGTAAATTCCTATTCTAAAAGCTCTTCAGTTGATGCATTTCTTTCTTTTTTTTGAAAGCTTGGTAGCAAATATTTTTTTAGAAAATTTTATAAAATTTTATAAAAGGCGAAAAGAGAAAACATAAAAAAACAAAAAAAAAACAAAAAAAAAAAACAAAAAAAGTGACACTGAAAATACAGTAACTGTTTGGAACAAGTAAAAAAAAGAAGAGCTTTTTTTTATTTTGAATAAACGACAAAAAACTCAATAAGGGTCACTGTATTAGTGTTTTCAAAAGGCGGTTTAGTATACAACGTTACTGAAACTTTGTATAAGAAGGAATTACAATTGTTATGCAATTTTATTGTTTTATCGGCACAAAAAAAATACACACTCACAGATCATTGATACAGCAACTATTATTTATCATTTTTAATGGCAGTATTTTATTTCCAAAAACAAAAAAAATCTTTTTTTAAAGTTAACATATTTCTTAGACTATGTTAAAATAGTCAAAAGCGGTTTTCAATTTTAATAAAACCAACAGCTTTCATACCCAAAATTTTTGAACTTTCTTCCAACTCTTTTGCTCACTTTGTACAGATAATGTAAGAATATAGACAGTTATCATATAATTGTCTTTTTTTTTTTCGTACAATTCGAGCAACAACATAAGAAAAGCTAATTAAAGTGTAAATCCAGTTGAGAATATTAGTACAAAAACCTTAAACAGATACATGTAAGTCATTGTCATTTATCGGTTTACAAATTTAGCTTACAGCTACTCAGCATTAACTAAAATATGTCTGTCCGAGCGGTTTACTTGGTGCTGATCTGTTCATCGGTTGATGATACTCGTAAAAAATTGGTGCTTCAAGAATGATCGAAATTGATCCAATATTTAATATTGAAAAAACTATGAAGAAAAATCGATCCATAACCATTGATACAAATACCCATTCTTCAGACAGCTAAAATTTTTTTGTTCAATTAAACAACAACCTTCCACGCAGTTGTCCTATTTTAAGATTCCTATCAATATCTCAGACTAAGTGTTTAAATTTTGACTCGTCCACTAATCCATAACAAAGAGAAACAAGGAGAAGGCAAGAAAAAAGCCTTTAAATTTTTACGACAAAATCATTTAATCAAAAGTGCAATGTTTCTCACTTCGGATTCATATTCTGCACATTCAAAATACGTGGCAATAAAATGCAGTTGTCGGTAAATTTTCAATATCAAATTTTTGTGAAATAAAAGTTCACGAAACTTTTGATCTCTTATCGGTTTCCACATATGGCATTTACGCTGCAAAGATAGATAACGGTAACTATTAAACAAACAATTTGATTTTTTTTTTTTGAAACTATTATCCTTACTTATTACAGCTTATTCCATAAAGTCTACGCTAGTATATAACTGCCTATAGTTCACTGTTGAAGATGATATATGTCAAAAATAAATGCTTCTCAAATGCACTAATTATTCTTCCGTATATTAACATTGATTTCTGTCTGCTCATACAGTTATCAGAAAAAAAAGCTAGTAAAAAAAGTTAAAATTGAAATGAAATAAAAGGGAAGTAGAATTTTTACCCTTGTACGGTTATATCTTGGAGGTCGTGTACAGGGCTTAGTGCTAAACAAATTTGTTTCTTGCCAAGTTACCTTCTTTGAACTATGATGTTGTGCTGATCGAACCAATATGCTATGATATTTACGAGGTGGAACTTCTACTTCACAATCTAAAATCAAAGAATTATAAATTTTCGAGAAACACAATTAACCATTAAAAAGAAACACATAATTTTAGAAATATGAAAAATTAAAATTTCTTTTTCGTATTTCCACTTACTACTTCTTTCTAATCTCAACGATTGTGACGTCGCTTGAAAATTTAACAATTTCGGTGGCTCAGTTACGCGTTGTACACCAATCTTCCACTCCGTTTTTTCGATTTTTGGCCTTCGCATTATCAAAAGTCTTTAAAACAAATTTTCCACATTTTTCTTCAATAAAAGTTAACAAACTTGGCAAACTAAAATTTATTTTTATGATACAAAAACTTTTATCTTTTTAATTTTGCACCCATAGTTTATGCTTACCTCTTTTACCAAATACAAATACGATAAGTTTATTACTATCCTGCTCAATTTAGTGGCTAATGTCTTCCTTTGCTAAAAATTTTTCTATTTCTTCTATTTTTTAAAACTATTTTGTTAAAACTCCAGCAAAAAACTACTCTTTTAATACCGTGGCAAAAGGTCAAGAAAAATTTTTCTGGTCCACGGTGACATAGTATGCGAAGAACCTTTACGAAGGCGAACATTAACAACAATAACTGAAACAATTGTTGAAGCAGTAACCAAAACCATTGTAGTTGTCAGATAACGGCCAAGCATTGGTAAAACCACTGAAGTTGGAGGCATTATTTCCAAAAGCACCTAAAAAACAGTTATCAGAAATGATTATCAACACTGAATCATGCCTAAAGATGTCACTTTTTCTAGTAAATCACAAATTGTAATGTTTCATTGAAGCAGAAATAAATTCTTAAAAAAATATCTTTTAGAAAACCCATAAATTGCTCAAAATACTCACCAAAAAAAATACAGTTAAAGTAACCAACAAGTGAATGGCAAAGTCGATCTTTTTTCTGGACAAACAGAATACAAATGTGGTTAGTGAAGATATGAGAAAGCAAGGCACAATAAGATTACAGGTGAAAAAAAGTGTTTTTCGACGAAGTGTAAAAAAATAAGTTATATCAACAAATTTTTCTGGTCCACAACAATTGGAGTAAAGCTTTGAATGTTTTGCCGATGACAGTGACAGCAGATCCCATTCTGCTGACCTGAAAGAATAAAATGTATCCTCAAAAGAAGACAATGTGAGATCAAGAAAATCTGATAAATTCTTCTATCGTAAAGTAAAAGATTCTTCTCTCTACTTTTGTCAAAAAAAAAAAAAAAAAAAAA